GTTCTTCAGCTGCTGACATTTATACACCCCGGATCTAAGGAAATCTCTTATCATGTGATCACAGACAAACTTAGGAAATAGGGGGGGGGGGAAATCAGGAAATGTCAGTTTTTCCAAATGTATAAAAGCAAATAAAAACTAATCTAGAGGAGGGGTGTAAAACTCACATCATGATGGCAGGGTCACGTGACGTATTGGGACTTTCCCCCCCCCCTTCGCTAAACCGGGCATGGCCATGGCCAGCGCATGAAACATCTGGCCTGTGGGCCAGGAGTTTGGCAGCCCTGATCTAGAGTAAAGCCTCAGAGTACAAATTGTCCTCAAGGACATCAGTGGTGGGATTCACTTACCTTCCCTACCGGTTTGCAAATGTGAATGTGAGCCTTCTGTGCATGCACTGTCCTCACAAATTATGTCAGGGCAGGTGGGTGGAGCCTCCCACAACCACCACTACTGGTTTGCCAGAACCAGAGAGAATTGGCTGAATACCACCTCTGAAAGACGTCAAAAAAGTCTCAGGTGACATACCGTTGGGTTCACAGATTGGGCAAAGTCATGATGGTTTGGCTTTTGTTTACTATGATCAACCAAACTGTGGTACATATTATGGATTATGGCATTAGGAAAGAATTCATTCCATTAAGAGGTATTAGGAAACCCTAACTGGTTCAGCCAATTTGGACACAGAATGTTTCAGCAGTTTGAGATGATATTGATCGTGCCCTACCAGATAAGGTAGCTGTAACAATAATTTTATTACATAGTACAAAATGTACAGTAAAAATTAACATAAACCTTATAAATGGCTATAGGGAATTGACTTAATATACATGAAACTCTTTGGTCAACTTCAAGGGCTAATTAAAAACAAAAATGAATCAGAACAGCATTTCCAAAACTGATGTAATGCAGATACTTTTGGGAGGTCATAAGCCATGCTGGCTGGCAATACTGGTAACTGTAATCCAAACACACCTGAAGGGCAACAGATTAGGGCAGCCTTAACTTCAAAAGATGCTCTTTTCATTAGTAGCTTTGTCAGAGTTGTTTATGCTGATTCATACACACCAGCCTTTCCCTGTTAAAGAAGACCTGAGGTTATATTTTAACCATGTTTGCAGGTGCCAGGCTAGATGCTCCTTCAACATGGAGAGTTGGAATGGAGAAGACAAAGCCTGAAGGCTCATCCTTGCCTTCCCACCACACTTAACAAGGTGTAACACTTGAAAAACATCTGCACCATTCTTTTAACGTGTTACATGAGGATCAAACTGTATAATGGCAGAGCAGATAGGAATTCACCAGAGTCGGATGTGGCCACAAGTCACAAGAACAATGGAGAAAACAAGAGGAAGGAAGGATCAACAGCTCCTGCCTTACTATACGGTCCACAATATGCAATCACAGCACATCTGCTATGCTTTTCTAGAATTGCCAAGTTGTTTGTTCAGCAGTGGGTGTGTTTGTGGGAATTGAGTCATTGGTCATGAGATTGCTGCATTCCCATCTCTCTTTGTCAGCCCATAGTTGGATGAAACCAAAAACGTTATACTGCTTGAGATAAAAGACTTTTCTTCCATTTCCCAGCTGAATCTACAGGCAACGGACACTGGTCCTTGGACGGTGTTTTCTTCCACACCAGAGCTCTGATGCAACCAGACCAGGGGTGGGATTCAGCCGGTTCAGGTGAACAGTAGTTCTGACGATCAGCTGAGAGTGAACCGGTTCACTCCGATGATCAGGTTGGACCTTGCACTTTACTTACCTATAGCCGCTCAGCTGATTAGCGTGGCAGAGTAGATTGCCACGCCTCAGCTGTGTTACTCCCCAAGAAGCAGCGTGGAAGGTAAGTTTTGGTAAAACTGTGCAGTTATGCGCAGCACACAAAACACGCAATCACCGAACCAGTTGTTAAACCGGCAGGATCCCACCACTGAGCCAGACACTTTTAGATTCTGGTCCTCATTTTCTCTCATCTCTTTAGAAGGCAAATCAAAATACGATTTTGAACAGGAATAGCTCTGTTCATCTTGCAAATTGGGGTCTGGACTTCAACATTCAGCCAACTCAACTGCTGAGAGCAGCAAAAAAAAAATAAAAAAAATCAGGGGACGTCAGGCCAGCAAGTTGACATGCAAAAATTTGATCTTTAAAATGCTGCTGTCGCTTCTTTCTTCCACCCCCAACCTGGGCACCTCATTCTGCCTAAGAGGCCTATGAGGGTGGTCTTAACTCCAGTGTGCAGGAAGCGTAAGCCACATCACAAGTCTTATGTTATGAGATGGCTGAGGAAGTTATGGTCATAGGAGGTCCTTATAAACTTATGCAATCTTTGCGAGCAACAGCAGCTGGGATGCCAGAATTGCTCTTACTAAGCAATGTGATCATGTTACATTATATTTTACAACTGTGTCACTTAGCACTGGAGTTCCTCGTTCCAATAGCTATTTAACTTGGGGACTACCTACAGAAGGGCTGTCAAACTTCCAGCCCACGGTCTGGATGTGTCATGCGCTGGCCACGCCCATGCCCAATTTAATGGAGGGGGAGTCCCAATATGTCACATGATGCTGCGATGACATGAGTTTGATACCCCTGACCTACAGCATCCACCATTTTTTACTTTCTAAAAAGAGAAGACCTGTGTTTTAAATCAATTTGACTCCATACAGTTCAGGTGCAGCAGTGAGTTAGTAAATGCTAAAAGGAGCCACTGTGAAATTTGGGGGGTCACAGCCAGCCCTGGATTAACCATTAAGCTAAATAAGGATGTGCTTTGGGTACTAAGGGAAGACAGCACCACCATTTTCCTTGTAGCTATATATACTAACTATTTCATACAACTGTAACTGTCAGTACTTACTGAATCTTAATATATTGTCCATTAAGCAATGGAAGGTGGGAGGCAGCATTGTTTGGCTGCGTTTCTGTTGGCATTTATCTAGTCCTACAGCAACCATCAGATGCCCACTCTCTGGCCTAAATTCTGAATTGCATTTCCACTTCTTCTTATAGGGATTTCCCATTCAAATCCAGAATGTTTATTATTTTTATCTCACTTTTTTCCATATACAAAGCGGCAAATATACCTAATAGTCCTTTCTCCTCCTATTCCCACAACAATAGCTCTGTGAATTGGGCTGAGGGTGAGTGACTGTCTCAGAGTCACCCAGCTGGTTTTTCATTTCTAAAATGGAACTAGAACTCACAATCTCCTGGTTTCTAGACCTGCAGCTTAATCACCACACCATAACATAGCATGTGACCTGTATGTATTCTGAAATAAGACCCATTATCTGTCTTCACACACTTCACTTAACTAGGTCAAGCACTTTTGGATGCACTGGTGAATATTAATCTTAGGCTATATCATAGGGACGTGGTGGCTCAGTGGCTAAGATGATGAGCTTGTCGATCAGAAAGGTCAGCAGTTCAAATCTCTAGTGAGTGAGCTCCCGTTACTTGTCCCAGCTTCTGCTAACCTAGCAGTTCAAAAGCATGTAAAATAGGAACCACCTTTGGTGGGAAGGTAACAGCTTTCCGTGTGCCTTCGCCGTTTAGTCATGCCAACCACATGATCACAGAGACGTCTTCGGACAGTACTGGCTCTTTGGCTTTGAAATGGGGATGAGCACCACCCCCTAGAGTCGGGAACGACTAGCACATATGTGCGAGAGGAACCTTTACCTTTACCTTCATATCACTTTGGGCAACAGAAGGGAAATAATATTTTAAATGCACACGTATTCAGAAAAAATATAAAGAACCGAGTGGAGTTGAATTTATTTAAAACACATATCTTATTTTCTTAGAAAGCAAAAAATGGTGGACACTATAAGTAGTCCTCGAATCAGACGGCTATTGGAACCAGGAATTCCATTGCTGTGATATGGCTGTAAAATATAATGTAACATGATCACATTGCTTAGTAACAGCAATTCTGGGAGTCCCGGTTGTTGTTGCTTGCAAGAATCGCATATGTTTTTAAGCAAAACAAGGACCTCATGTGATCATAATTTTCAACTTCCTACCAGCTTCCCCATTGACTTTGCTTATGGGAAGCTGGTAGAGAACGTCAGAAATCAACATCTTAACTTTAAACAGTGAGTGTTGTAACCCAAGGACTACTTGTAGTCCAGCTCATCCACCAGCCTGGAAAGAAAGCAAAGTCAATTGTGGGGTCCTTGGTGCTCTCTGAGCTTGATGGTTTTCTTACCACACTAGATTTACATCATCAGTGCTAGTTTGCTAATGAAATATCTGCAAGAAAACTACTCATCTCAGAGATCACTAGGGACCCTACAGTTCAACTCTGAGCGACAAATATCCTCTTCTAACGTCAACTGTAGAATACAGGAGAAGGTGTTTAGAAAAGAGTCAAGAAAGTTTGTTTTCTGATAAATGGACAAATAGGCATATGATTGACTACAAGGACTTCTTTTTAGTTTCCTCCTCCCATTGCAGTCAGTTTGTGAGAATCCCTACAGCAGTGTTTTTCAACCTTTTTCGTGAAAAAAATCACGAGGCACACCACCATTAGAAAATGTTAAATTTTTTTAACTCTGTGCCTATATTGACTATATATAAAGTAATTCTCAAAAAGGGCACACCTTACACTATGTCACGGCACACTAGTGTGCCGCGGCACAGTGGTTGAAAAACACTGCCCTACAGTATGCTTCTTCAAATCCATGGGCTGTTAATTTCCAAAGCTAGTGATGCTTTGGGACAGCAGAAGATGTCTTTTTACCCAACACACAGCTGCAAGTGGTTTCTTCTTGCAGAAGACATCTCAACCAAGATTTTGGCACTGACATAAGTAAACAAATAAATAAATAAAAACCCCAGGGCTCTATCCCAATCCTGGGCAATCATACAGCAATAGTGATTGAACTAATTAGAGGTTGTTTGTATATTTAAAAAAATAAGAAAAATCCTTTTTTCTTGTGTGATTCAAACTCTTGATGCCTCGGGTGGCCACCTGCTTGTGTCAAATGAAGTAGGCTGCTAAATGATAGCACCTGCTCCTTTTCTGACTTCAGAAACCAGCCTCAACTGGTTTGGGAACTTTTCTGTGTTTTTGATTTAAGGGGGGGGGGCAGGATCTTGATTTGCCCAAGGCATCCTTTTTCTGGAAAATCATCCTATTTTAGGACTCTGCCTTCCTAGATGATTGAAGTGTCCGCACCAGTGGTGAAATTCAATTTTTTTTACTACCAGTTCTGTGGCTGTGGCTTGGTGGCTGTGGTGTAGCTTGGTGAGCATGGCAGGGGAAGGATACTGCAAATTCTCCATTCCCTCCCCACTTTGGGGTCAGCCAGAGGTGGCATTTGCCGGTTCTCCGAACTACTAAAATTTCCACTACAGGTCCTCCAAACTATTCAAAATTTACACTACAGGTTCTTCAGAACCTGCTGGATTTCACCCCTGGTCTGCACCCATCTGGGACTTTTCAGATGCTTTGGTTCAAATAGTTCCTAGTTAGCATAACCAAAGCCTAGATTAGTTAAGCTTGGTTGAACTAGAGTAGCTCCTAGTTAAATCTCCCCCCCCCAACCTCACCTAAGGGAGATTCTCAATCATCCAGATCATCCCCGCCCCCCCCAAAAAAATGCTTTTTCCAAAGGCAACTGGATTTTGTTGCACTTCAGCAAAACGTCTTCCAGAAAAAAACAACAGCTCCAAGTTGCCTTTTGGAAAAGCTTCTGTGGGACAACCATGACCTGGATGACTGAGACTATCCATAGACAGCCAAGATCCTGGTTGTCCCAAAAAGCAACTTGTACTTTCTTCGTAGTTGTTCTCCCCCCTCCCCTCCCCCCAAAAAACATTCTGCTTCTCATCCATCAAACCTGTTCTGAAGAAGCTTCTTGGGTGAGAAGCGAAACGTTTTCCGGGAGGGGGGTGGACGGGCTGTTACTGTTAGTCTAAGTTGTCTCATGAAAAAGAATTTCGGGACAACGGGCCAGAACTTGAAAAAAAGCCCCTAAAGAAAATCCAAGTTGTCTCATGAAAACCACCCTCGTGACAACAGGTCAAAGGAACAGATCTCCCAAACAAGGCCGGAGGGTAAGCAGACGGGCGGGAAGACGAACCGGGCAGGCGCTAGGATCCCGCGGACCCGTTTGGAAGCGGCGAGGCCGCAAGAAGCCGCCGTTTCCCATTGCGAGAAGTCAGAGGAGCCCCCCGCGGGCACTCGCCGCAAAAGCAGCGGGGGCGAAGGGAACTTCGCTCGGCGGGGAGGAAACCGGCTTTTCAGGCCCTGCTAGCGCGGATGTGGCAATTTCCCCCTCCCCCTTTTTTTTTCTTTTTGCCGACTCGACTGTTGCAGGCAACCCCGCATGGGAGACGGTGATGAGGATGGCTCAGAAGGTCTCGAGCAGCGCGGCGGAAACTTTCCCCTGAGCAGCCTCGGGACGGCGGAGGGAAGGACGGTGCCAAGAAGGACGGCGCTCCGATGGACGACGGCCTCTCCATCAACTATGAGCCCCAGCCTTCCTCGGGGCAAGTCTTTAAGGTTTACAAGCGGCGCTGGTTTATCCTGACGGCCGTCTGCGTGGTGAATTGCTCCAATGCGATGGTAGGTACAGTTGCCCGGCGAGTTTCGCTTTCCTAAGCCCGCCGCTTCTCCACTCCTCTGGCAGCCCCGTTTGGGAGCCGGCCGGGACTTCTCTTTTTATTTTTACTTTTATTTGGCTGCTTTCCCATTTTCCCGAACAAACCGTCCTGCCTCATTTGTACTCATTTCTTTACCTTTCTGGTACACCGTACAAAAACGATCCTAGGCGGGTTTAATTTTAACCCCGCGGGGAGGGAGGGAGAGAGAGGGAGAGGTGGGCTTGGATTTGTAAGAGATGCATGAAGATCCTCATACCTATCTCTGCTTGGGGAGGAGTCCCTTACATATTTCTTTAAACGGGGTTGCATGCAGGCTGATCTAACACCAATAAAAGTAACGTGAGAACGTGTGATTCATTCATGATTCATAGCATGTAGGATTGAATGAATTGGGTGTCTCTTTAATTAATTTCATTGCTTCCCCCTAATAGTCCCTCTATTTATCTTTATAACAACCCCCTGAAGCAGTCTAAAAGATTAGCCCAAGTGAGGATCATAGCAGAGTTACCCTGTTTCCCCCCCCCATCAGATAATCCCCTAATTCAGATAACCCCCTAATTCAATCCCCCCCCCCAACCTTTCAGGCAGTAGGGACCAGTTCCCTGGAAAGAGGTTTTTCCGAGGACCAGGGAGGTTTCCTGTGCCGCTGGCATCCCGCAGATGGGATTTCACTTGTTTATGCAGCCGGGTTTCTGACATGCCACAGACCTGGGGATGGGTATCCCTGCCCTAATTTCATAATCAAAGGTTAAGAATTTTGAAAAGTGGAGATGAAGACATCTTGGAAAACAATCCAACAAGAGGATTTCTTCTCAAATTTTATATTCAATAAAAACTTTGCTTTATTGTAGATTTTACTCCTGGCTTGAATGTAAAAAAAAAAGCCACTGATAAACATTAATTATCAAGAACATCTGACTTTGTGCAGAATACACTTCCCCTCTTAGTACTCTGAACCCAAGTGAAGGGCCAAAGCTTCATCTGTATAATCTAATTTAGGTTAAAAGCCTACAGAGACTGAATAAAAGAACTGATTATTTTGTTGTACCTATTTTACCAATATTAATATTCTGAATATGCTTAATTTTCTGGGATGTGTTGATGGGGAGAAAATAAATCAACAAGATAAGATGTCTTCATTTTGTTTTTTATTTCTGGAATCACAGACAGTTAATGTAATTTATTTAGAAACTTCATAAATTTTAGTCAGTTTTTACCATATAAAAAGTACTAATACAAATAAACCAGTAGATACAAAGAAAACAGAACATGTTCATAATAAGTTGTCAAACCTATAGTTAATCCAATTTAGTCTAAATAGCCTGTCCTCTCTGAAATGATCTTTAATATAAAGAGTATGCTCTATAGAGATTTTCAGTCATCCACATCATGGTTGTCTCAAAGGTGCTTTTTCAAGAGGCAACTGGACTTTCTGATTTTTCTTTGAAGATATTTCACTTCTCATCCAAAAGGCCTTCTTGGATGAGAAGCAGAACATTTAAAAAAAAACACAGAAAAGTCCAGTTGCCTCTTGAAAAAGTACCTTTGGGACAGAGTGAAGTTTTATTTTATTTATTAATGTATTTATTTATTAAATTTGTTTGCTGCCCATCTTGTCACATGTCTTATTAGTAATATGCAGGTTCATTTCATTCCCTGAAAAATGTAAGACCCAATATTTTTTAGTTTTTAAGTAGTCTAAATTAGCAGCTCTTTCTGCAGCATGCAGTTTGCAGTCCAAAAGAATATGTACAACGTCTTCAGTGGCTTGTGTGCCACAAATATGCAGCCTTCCCACAAATGGAACTCCATGAAAACATTCATGCCTTATCGTGGAGTCCAGTTGTTGGAAGTGATTTCTAGAAAAAGCTCCTATTAGATGTTGAGGCACGTAAGCTGTTAGATGCTTTTCTAACTGGAAAGCAAATTTTTGTTGAGCCAGCCACTTCAAAGACTTAGCATATTTAAGTGCTTTAATATCATTTTAGGCAACCATGTCAATGACAAGAGCTTATCTGAAATATCCCTTACCGGAGAGGCAGTGAAAAAGTGCATTTTCCCTCCTGTTTGGTCCATGCCTGCAAACTTCATTAAATGCCTAGGAATGTAAGCCTCATTTTCTGGCTCAAGGCAATAGCCCATCTAGCCCAGCCCTCTGTAAAATGTGGTGCCCAAGCAGATGAATTTAGGATTAAACACACTGGTAGCTCTCCAACACTGCCAATCCCCAGCAGCTGCCATTAAAGGCAGGTGATTTTGGAAGCAAGATACAGCCACCCAAAGCCAATTCCCCATGAATCAAGCCTTTGAAACTTATTTTAAACTGGTGACCATAATCAGATGGTAGTAGCAAATTCCACTGTCAATGCCCCATTGTGCAAAGAAGAATGCCCTTTTATTAACGCTGCATCTTCCCACGTGGTTGCTACTATTGCTACCAATCTGCCTTCCATTGAGGACCTGTATGCTGCATGAGTCAAAAAGAGGGCTGTGAAAATATCTACAGACTCTTCACATCCTGGACATAAATTGTTTCAACTTCTACCCTCAAAACGATGCTATAGGGCACTGCACACCAGAACAACTAGACACAAGGACAGTTTTCCCCGAATGCCATCACTCTGCTAAACAACTAATTCCCACAATTGTCAAATTATTTACTAAGGCTGTATTACTATTATTCTTCTCATCCTTCCTAGTGCCTATCTCTTCCCCCATATGACTATAACCATGTTGCTTGTATCTTTACAATTTGTATTATTTGTTTCCTAGTATAATTTGATTGCTTATTAGTAACCTTGACTATCACTAAGTGTTGTATCTTATGATTCTTGATGAAAGTATTCTATTTTTTTTTCTTTATGTACACTGAGAGCATATGCACCAAAGACAAATTCCTTGTGTGTCCAATCACACCTGGCCAATAACAAATTCTATCTATCTATCTATCTATGGTTGCAGGACGTACTAAATGAGTCCAAGTTCTAAAACTATGGAGGAGGGAGAAAAACACTATTTTCCATACAGCGATTTTTTGGGAAAGATCCTACATAATCTTTTAAATTTTCTTTTAGTACCTTGAATGGTTTGAGAGCCCTAATATCAAGAACAATTAAGGTAAAAGCCAGGTTCCTTTAGAAGGCACACTCCAGATCCTTCTAGATTACCAAGAGTTCAGTAATTATGAAATCACTATACAAGGAGCTTTCTTAATCTCCATTGTCTCTTTCATCTAGTTATAAAAATAATCTGTGGAATCAGGTCTGTAGGATCATTGGTTTACAAGGATACATAATACTGCTCCTTGCTTAGCATATGGTTTAAGTATTTAAACATGAGTTTATTTTTTATAAATCAATGTGTTCTCAGTGAAGTATGCCAGAATTTAATGTATAAAATGAGGGACACCATTCTGAGGTGATATGGTATCCCTCGTTTTATACATTAAATTGTGGCATATTTCAATGAGAACACATCAATTTATATAAAATAAACCCACGTTTAAACACTTAAACCATATGCTAAACAAGGAGTAGTACTGTGTATCCTTGTAAGCTAGTTTCCTTTACAGGTCTCTCTAAACAGGGTCAGCATATTGTCCCCAACAATCTGGTTCCTCATTTTATCAACCTCAGAAGGAGGGGAGGCTAAGTCAACCTTGAAACAGCCTGCAATACTGCATTCCAACCACTGCCCCACCATGGTTCAAGACTTTAAGGATATACAGTAGAACCTCTGGTCATTCCTACCACTAGCCTTGGTCATGGCAGTGATTAGAGGCATTCATGGGGGACTCCTTAACTGCTTTCTCAGATGCTTTCCCATGTCTGCATCCTACTTCTGGCAGGAAGCTGCCACATTGTTTTATACTACTACTGCTCTACAACTTATCTTCTTCTTTTCTTTTCTGCCAAGGTGTCAATCAGCTGTCAGGATCAATAGCTGCTGAACACACACAACTTGCTTTGTAAAGTTTGTTTTCAGATACAAATATGAGCATGTGACTCACTTGTCAATGGCATGTTCAATGGAACTTGGAGCTTTTCAAATATTGCTTGATTATAGTTCTTAGCAGTGTGAACTAGCATAGCCAATGGTGAAGGATGCTGGGAATTACTATCAAATAATTCCTGGAATCTCACAGATCTCCATTGCTATATAGAAGCAAAATAAAATATATTAACGTAGTTTATGACTCGGGAGTTGGGAAGGTTTCTCTCTCATAAAGATACTACACAGCTTTTCAGCCTTCTCTCGATTCCTTGTAATGGAAAGGGGAACCTTTTAACATCCTGGCTGGGATGAAAAAAAAATGGAGATTTCCATCCTTTACTGAAGGGTCAAACAGCAGCCCTTCAATCTAGACCTGACTAGGATGCCAGATTTATGAATGCTAATAGTACTTCATTATAAGGTTACAGTAACAGAATCTCTGATTATACCCTATTTCTTTATCTTCTAAAAAACTAGGGATGTTTATATCTGAGACATTTCATCAAATTATGTTTCTGCCCCAGACTCGGATTTCTTTTATCTAACTTGGTTCTCTTTTTCCTCAAGGTTATTCTGACTTCCCATTACAGGTAGATGTGTATTTTAAAATGGGCATAGATAACATTTAGGTCAAATCTTTATTGCAGTCATAGACCAGCATATATAACTTTAGGTTTGCCTTAATGGTTCAAACCCACAAGTTTTGCTATTCTCGTTCTAACAGCAAGCAGCTCAATGCTCTAAGGGTATTGTAAGCAGGGTGTGGTGGCAAATCCCTTATGTTCTGACATTTGTTCCAGTCACTTCACATCTCTTAGACCGCCACTCTTCAATGAAACTAATTAAATACCATAATTAATGTACTCAGAGGAGTTGTCTTTCTCCTTATTCCCACAACTAATATCTCAAATGAAATGCAGATATTGGGAAACGCCCAGGCAGGGTGGGAGGAGGACTGAAATAGGGAAT